TTGTGCTAGAAGGTGTGGTTGAAATCCGACACCTCCCCCCAAGCACAAGACCACAAGTCCTCTCCCCTCCCAAAGCACCCCCAACACATATCCTCTTCCCACCCCCCCATCACTCCTCCAGGTGTACAGTATGTTCTTATTACCTACCTCCCCAGTTACTGTGTCCACCTCCTCTGTATACAGCAATAAACGCAGACCTCAGATCATCAGTGCAGCTCTTTCAGTTCAGTGTTCCTCATTCCCGGCTGCTCCTGTCAGTGTGTACACAGGAGGAGGAGCCAGCTTTAGTAAGGTCTGAGAGGTTACACTGTGCAGGCAGTTGTTGGTGAGATATGTCAGCTGCCACAGAGGGACCCTGGGCACCCTCCAAGAGATGTGGGGCAGGTGTCTCTGGTTCCCACACTGGCGAGCCTCGTTGGTCAAGTAACCGGAGCTCAGTGCCTGAACTTATCCTGACATTGGACTCTGGGGAATTAGCGCAGAGTGCCTAAGCTGGCTCCACAGTGGCAGAACTCCAGGGCCCGATCACAAGTGCGACCTTTTAGACCCTGATAGTTCCTCCACTGGTCCTGATTTTCCCTTCCAGGTTCCATCTAACTGCATTTATTGCATCTTTTTGCTTTATAATTGTATTCACATCTACTGTTGCAAATTTCCTTATACGGAATTTCCTCTAAAATAGTAATTAGATCCTTGCTATTTTGCTGAAAAGAGAGGTTTTTACAACCACATTTTGGAGACAGTCTAGATATTCTCCTATCCTTAAGAACAAAGAATCAGTGCCACTAGCATTTGGTCTTCTTGGGGGGGATTAATTTCATTCTTGTAAAATTTTGGGACGTACGAGGTGGTGTCAAAACGTTTTGAGGCTAGTTTTGTAACATACAAAAGGGATAACAGGCGCAAGGTGTGGCAGTCCATGTATGTTTGAGTTCCAAATGGGCAGGGGTAAGGGTAGTCCAGTAGGCACTAAGTGCAAGCTGCGTAAGAGCGAAGCATAACTCTGCAGAAGGGAAACAAAGAAACACAGCGCCTCTAAGTGTGTACTGTGAAGGTAAGATAAAAAAAGATAAGTAGTAACTCACATCTTAGAATTTAAAAACAGGCTCATGGGTAAGAGGGTGAGACGTCTATAACCAGATGTTGTTGTACTGATCCAGAGAGGAGGTCGATTGAGTCCGCCAGCAGGTGGTGCTGTGCATGTGCAACATGGATGGCAAGCCTGGTGGAATCTCCAAGGTGTCTGCCAGCAGATGGTGCTGTGCATATGCAGCATAGGTGGTGAAGCCTGGCAGAGTCTCCAAGATGTCCAGGATCAGCACGTGTGGCCTCTGACATCATCAAAATGCGACACGTTTCTGAGCATGTGCAGAACGAGAGGAGTCCAAGCGCGCTCTTTAATCTGGCAGCCGCACACGCGGGGTGGGCTGAGGGTGCTTTTTTTTTTTTTTTTTTTTTGAGTTATTTTGATTTTTTTATTATTCTTACACTGTCACTTTCATTTTTTTTTTCAGTTTTTTTTTATCACTCTTAATGCTATCACAGGGAATGCAAATATCCCCTATAACTTCAATGGGCATCAACTACATGAAAGCCAATCGCCGGCTAAAAAAAACGATACCAAGATGATGCCTGCAGCTGTAGGCGTCATCCTGGTATAACCATTCAAAGTCCATGGGTGTACCAGTATGTCTCTGGTCCTTGTTGGGTATATATGCTATGTTCTTCTTCTTTTTTTTTTTTTTTTTTTTTTGTATGCAGCCTGTAGGCTGAATGAAAAAAAGAGAAGAAATCTCTGCCAGAAAAAGTGTGTGGTATTCCCACCATTAGAATATGCTGCCTTGCACCCACCCACTTCTAATGGTGGGCACACATTAGGTCACACGGTGCCACATGCGCCAGTTCCAAGATTGCACAAATGTCTAAATAGTGGCACGCTTGAATAAAAATTGTCCACGTATATGTAGTACCCCATATGGAAAAAGGATGACACCAAGTCCCACACTATCTTGCCACTACTCCCCATGTAGTCTGGGCATCCAGGGGGCTTCATGTGACTATCTTTTCCCTCGTAAATCCGAAACTTATACTTAAGTATAGCCTGTTGCCCTCTCACAGGTCTTGACCCCATATCTGGCACGTTAGCTGGGGAGAAATTGTTTGAATGCAAGGCAGCCAGAAAAATTAATGAGGGACTCATCAACGCAGATTTTTTGCTGGAGAGTATAGACATCTGCAAATTTTTGGTTAAGGTAATGAATTTTGTGGTGCAGGTCAAATTCAGGGTCACTCCGAAGACGACAGAGTGTATTGTCATTGAAATGCATAAAATGAATTATACTCTCATATCTGCCTGGCCATGGGAGCAGAGAACATGTTGAAGGTTAGGCCCCAAACAAATGTAAATTTGGAAACCGTAATGGGTTTCCATGCAAATGGTCTTGCAAAGTTTGAATTTGGGTTGGTGGTGATAAATTGTTGTGCTTATAATATGCTTTGATCCACAATCAATGTATACAGATATTCCATGAAAACCAGCTCCAAAAAATCACGGGGAATAGTTAAATTTCCTGTTTCCAACTGAATACCGGGTTGGGCCGTGAATGGGGGCACGCTTGCTGGGGAGAAATTGTTTGAATGCAAGGCGGCCAGAAAAATTAATGAGGGACTCATCAACGCAGATGTTTTGCTGGGGAGTATAGATATCTGCAAATTTTTGGTTAAGGTGATTTACGAGGGGCCGAATTTTGTAGAGCAGGTCAAATTCAGGGTCACCCTGAGGAAGACAAAGTAGGTTTTTGTTGAAATGCATAACGCCATGGCCTGGCCATGGCAGCAGAGAACATGGCATATGATAAATCTAGTCTGTGGAGCAATACAACCGCAATTCATTTTTTTAGTAATGCCCATGTTGAGGGTTAGGCCCAAAAAAAATTTACATTCGGAAGCCGTAATGGGTTTCCATGAGAATGGTCTGGCATGGTTTGAATTTGGGTTGACGGCGATAAACTGTTGTGCATATAAATTGCTTTGATCCACAATCAATACATACAGATCTTCTGTGAAAAACAGCTCCAAAATATCAAGAAGACTAGTTAAATTAGCTGCTTTCACCTGAATTTCCTGAGTTGGGCAGTGAATGGGGGGAAGTACAGGTGCTGCAGAATTTGTGGGCTACCAATCGGGATTTGCAAGCACATCCTGAAAAATAGTAGGGGCTCTACGGGCCTGCATGCGAATTCCTGGTGGCTGCAGGACACTACTTGTGCTCACCACCGCACCAGCTTGTACTGCACTTATGGGACTCGCCACATCATCAAGTGATACTTCATGCTGGTATGTGAAAGACCAGGATGTACTAGGTCGCTGGTGCTCGCCAGTTCACCAAAAGATACTAGTACCGGCACTCAGCTGCATATGGGAGTCATCAAAAGTGCTAACAGGCCTGATTTTGTGAACACTGCGGTTTTGTGTACAATATATCAAGTGACAATGACCTACTGACACTGCACTTGCTGGGGGAGAAAGGAGGGGGTACGTGTAGGGGCTAAACGCAGGTGCCGGGGTTGATCCCGCTAAGCTGCATTTTTGGGGACACTATACTAATGTGAACGCTGGTATAGTGCTGATCTGATCAGAGATATTGATCTGTTCGGACACTATACTAGCAATGGACATTTATTGTGTATGAGCGTGTTCCTGGCAATCAAGGGGTTAAATGTGATTACTGGTGTACTGACAGGCAATCTGACGCTATCTGAGAGGGGCGTGAAAACCACTGGAGCGCAAATCACATATATACAGTACCTGTATATATGATTTTGTACACACGTGCCACCCTGTAGCACTATTTCTGCTATAGGGTGGTCAGGAAACGGTTACAGAAGCGGTTTGTGTTACGACGCTGCATTACTTTAACTGAGAATTGTGCGGTCATGCAACGCTTCTCCAAAATGAAATTTACGTCTTTTTTTTCCCCACGAATTGAGCTTTCTTTCAGTGGTATTTGATCGCCTGTGCATTTTTTTTTTTTTGCGCTAAAAAAAAAAGAACAACAATTTTGAGAAAAAACAATATTTTGGACTTTTGCTATAAAACATGTCAAGTAAAAAAGTTAAAAAATCTAATTTTGGAATAAATTTAGGCCAAAATGTATTCTGCGACATGTCTTTGATAAAAAAAATCCCAATACGTGTAAATTAATTGGTTTACGTGAAAGTTATAGCGTCTACAAATGGCGGTATATATACTGGGATTTTTTTTTTTAATACTAATGGCGGCGATCCGCGACTTATGACAGGACTGCGGCAGACATTCTGACACTGGGGGGGAACTGACTTGGGGTCATTGACATCCCCAGTGACACCAGTACAGTGATCAGTGCAAAAAAAAAAACCAGACACTGTACTAATAGCACTGGGGAGGAAGGGGTTAACACTAGAAGGCACTCAAAGGGTTAACTGTGTGAGGGGAGTGTTTTCACTAGGGGGCGAGGGGGTGTGCTTCACTGTGTAAGAACACTGATCCGGAAGGTTGAGCTCAGCGATCCGGATCAGTGTGCTCAAATTGACAGGGAGGAGAGCTGCATTGTAAACAATGCAACACGCCTGACTGTCAGTGTTTAGCGGTAATCGCCGGGCTCCGGTGGGTAATCATCGGCCAGTACCTGGTGATTGACACCCGCGGCCACGATCGGTGGCGCTAGTAGGATGGTCACGCACTTCTCATGCGCCCCCTGCCCGAAATGCAAAATCACGTATATGTATGTGATTTTGCGCAGTGGTGCTGCCCTGCCACAGTATATGTACTGTGGTTGGTCGGCAAGTGGTTGTTGTGATTTTTTTTGTTTTTGTTTTGTTTTTTTAACCGCCTCCTGCCCGCCAAATAGTAAAATGACGGACGCAAGGCGGTTCTCTCGTTCTGGGAGGATGTCATGTGATGTCCTCCCATTCTAACCACGCATGCACGGCTCCCAGAGCACGCAGCGCGGCGATCGGTGGTGTGCTGTGTCCCTCGGACACAGTGGATCACTGATTCACGGAAAGAGCCAATGATGTCGGCTCGGTCATGTGATCAGCTGTGTCCAATCACAGCTGATCACATGTAAACAGGGAAATGTCGGTTATCGGCATTTGTCTCCCCATGAGCTGTCACGCTGACAGCTCGCGAGGAGAAGAGAGCCGGTAATCGGCATTCCTCGGAGGGGACATGTACACAGATCATCAGAGCACTGATGATCAGTGTGCCCTGATGATCTGTGTAGCCCCAGCAGCGCCACCTGTCAGTGTCCATCAGTGCCAGCTCTCAGTGTTCATCCATGCCACCTTCCAGTGCAACATCAGTGCCACATCAATGCCACATATCAGTGCCCATCTGAGCTGCCTTTCAGTGCCACCTATCAGTGTGCACTAGTGCTGCCAATCAGTGCTTGTCAGTGCTGCCTATCAGTGCCGCCTATCAGTGCCAGTCAGTGCTGCCTATCAGTGCCATATATGAGTGCCCATCAGTGATGCCTGTCAATGCCCATCAGTGCCACCTACCAGTGCCACCTATCAGTGCCCATCAGTGCAGCCTATCAATGCCCATCAGTGCAGCCTCATTAGCGCACATCAGTGAAGGAGAAAAATCACTTATTTACAACATTTTATAACAAAAACGAAAACTTTTTTTTTTCAAAATTTTCTGTGGTTTTTGGTTTGTTTAAGAAAAAATAAAAACCCAGAGGTGATTAAATACCACCAAAATAAAGCTCTATCTGTCACAAAAAATTATACAAATTTCATATGGGTACAGTGTTGCATGACCGCGCAATTGTAATTCAAAGTGCAACAGTGCTGAAAGCTGGAAATTGGCTTGGGCAGGAAGGGGGTATAAGTGCCCTGTAGGCTAATGGTTAAATAAGAAATGTGTTATACATGCCTGCTATGTGCAACAGAGCAGCCCTGATCCAACTCTTCTCGGGTCCCCCGCCAGTGTTCCTGGTCCCTCCTTCTCTGAGTGCCCTCATAGCAATCCGCTTGCTATTGAAGCACTTGTGCGTGCTCTCTCCCCGAGCCCCGGTCTGTGTGTCAATAAGGTAACTCAGAACAGGGCTCAGGCCTGCCTACACTCCCTCTTCACTCGCTGTGATTGACAGAAACTGGTACTAATGGCAGAGACCCAGGAGAGCAGCTGCTTTCATGCACATTGCTGGTTTGTGATCTGGCTTTGGGGGGAGCTGCATACTAAAGTTTTTTCACCTTCATGTATAGAATGCATGAAGGTTAAAAAACTTTCAGCCTTTAGAAACACTTTAAGGCAGAAAAAGGTTCTCAGAGCAAACATTATTCTGCAGGGGCTTATAGAGGCGATCAAGGATCTTAACTCTACAGAAACAGCATTATTCCAGGAACCTGCACCAAAGTTCACATAGAGAGACATAAGTTTATATTCATCCCCTCCCTCCTAGATTGTAAGCTCCAAGGAGCAGGGCCCTCGAACCCCTCGTGTATCACATTGTATTGTTATTGTACTGTCGCATGTTCTGTCTCCCCTTGTAATGTACAGCGCTGAGGGAACTGTTGGCGCTTTATAAATACTGTATAATAATAATAATCAGATGCCACTATCCCCAAATGAAAGAGAAGCTTCTGGAAGCTGCTTGCAATAAACAAAAAATAAAATTCCACGGCAACCAATACCAGCTATTTGCAGGCTTATTCCTTGCCACTATATTCGCAATACGCCTGACGTCACTTCCGGTGAGTGGAGCGCACGCCGAGCGGTGCGTTCCAGCGGCCATTTTGTGGGATCTAGGCTGGTTCTCTGCTGTTCCTCTGCTCTATCTGGCTACATTGGTGTGGGAATCCTGGATTATGTGGCGGGTTTTCATCATCAGGCTGTCATGGGCTTAATAAATGTGCCTTTTTACAAGCTGTTGAAATGTGAGTGGCCTGGATTTTGTCTTTTGGTATAATATTGATGTGGCAATATTACACTATATAAGTTTTCTCTTTGATGATATGACAGCAAACTAGGAAGCCACGGTGAGGACCTGAAAGAAGATCTTAACTTGGAGGGGCAGGCTATCATTGAGCTGATGAAAAGAGGGTTTAGGATTCCCCAAAATCCTTAAAGGCTTTTCACTCACCAAAATCTGGTGAGTGTATTTGATGTTGGTGTGCACGGGTGATAGGTGGAAGGCTATAATTATCTTTGGAATCCTCAGTTTTTAACACAAGGGACTTTATGGTGTTTTTTCCTGAAGATTTTTTGATATAAATATGCACTAATTAATATGAGATAATTTACATTTTGTGATTTATTAATATTTGTATTTAGGTATATTTTGCGCTGTTTATCTATATATTTTTTACTTGCCACTATAGCCTGACACCAAAACTTCAAGGTGTAATTAAAATATACAGCAAGAACATCAGTTCAGATATTTATAGGACTCTGTCAGGGCCTGCACTTGAACCTGGGACTTCTGCAATGTCTTCTAACTGAGCTACCTGGGACGCTGGACAAACTCTGCCTGATCTATTGGAAAATCCTGCCTTGTGCGTTGTTTTCTCTTGAACCTTGAACTCCTTGCTCCTCCCATGAACTACCTATAAAAGCCATGTCCTAGATTGTAAGCTCGAAAGAGCAGGGCCCTTGATCCCCTCATGTTTTGCATTGTATTGGTATTGTTCTGTCACATGTTCTGTCTCCCTTTTGTAATGTACAGCGCTGAGCGAACTATTGGCGCTTTATAAATACTGTATAATAATAATAATAATAATAATGTCCATGCACTTCCTCCTTGCCAGATTATTGTGCCTCCCAGCCAATATCTCGCTCATCCTTACTGCTTCCGTCTATATCGTTTGACCGACTTTTGGCTTGTGACAGACTCCGCTTTAGTCTTATCCCTAAACTGTTTGATCCACTCTTGGTTTCCAGCTTGCCCTTTCCCTGGTGGGGTGATCCTGAGACTGCGACCTGGTATTCACACGCAGCCAAATCTATCTCCACCATTAGGAGCTCTGGTGAAGACCGGTAGATACTTAGACCCTGCACCTCAGGTGAGCCTGCATCATTCCCAGGGTGACCCGCTGTTGGACCAATCCTGCTGGTTTCAGGTAAGCCTTACAACTGCTGTAGCAATTGGTCTCTGAACCTGACCTCACACCGTGAGAGAATAATCTGGCCCAAACATGGAGGCCCCTATAGCAAATGCCATGGCTCCTGTCAGGCAGCACATTTTAGAGCTGCAAGAGTTTGGTGTTACCTACCAAAAGAAATGTTCCGAACTGCAAAATGTAGTAGAGGGGCAACAGGAAGAGATCCATGCTCTGCAGAGACGATTGCTGGATTTAAGTTCACACGATGTTGCTAATACACGCATGCCTCTGCCACTCAAGTTCAATGGAGACCGCTGCCACTACAGGGGTTTCCTTAACCAATGTCGCATTTATTTCCAGATGCAACCTGCTGCATTTAATTCTGAGAGACAGAAGGTATTATTTGTTCTAAACCTCCTGACTGAGGAAGCCCTAGCTTGGGCCTCTCCTTATATAGAGCAAGACAACGCAATGTTAAATAGCTCTGAGACTTTTGTGACTGCAATGAATCAGGTCTTTGATGATCCCAACCGCTGAAGCAAAGCTGCATAGTTTGCGGCAGGATAGATGCCCTGTTGCGGAGTATACAACTGAATTTCGATGATGGATTTCAGATACCACCTGGAACCCAGCAGCACAAAAGAGTCAATTCCGGCAAGGGCTGTCTGAACAGGTGAAGGATGAGCTCGCCAGAGTAGACTCCTAACGATCTTGAGGAGTTCATCCAATTATGCATTCGGATTGACCAGAGACTTACAGAAAGGAGAAAGGAGAGATTGGGAATGTTTGGAAGTAATGGTGGCATGCGTTTCTCTGCTAATCAGTTCAGTCAGAAGGATCTAAACATTTCTTCAGATTCTAACACACCTGAACCTATACAGGTAGATGCTATTAAAAGATCCATTTCTACTCAAGAGAAAGAGAGAAGACGTTTGGAGAACTTATGTTTATATTGTGGGGACTCTGGGCATTACGCAGTTAATTGTCCCAATAAAGTCAAAAAAAATTGCTGTGACTGATGTTATCCTGCCTGAACGCATAAATTCAATTACCCAGTCTATCTCTCCATTGATCCATGAAGAAAATAAAGTTGGTCCTAAACAGTCTCATTTTGTTGTCCCTATCAAACTTTTCACTGAGGGCTATGAAATTCCTTGTTCTGCTATGCTGGACTCTGGGGCTGGGGGAAACTTTATGGACATAGAGTTTGCCCACAATAATAATATTCTCAGAAGAAACAAATCCACCCCTATTGATATGGAGCTGGTTGATGGTTCACCTTTATCATCAGGACCAGTTACTCATGAAACCGTTCCTCTAGTACTTTCCAATTTCAGGCTGACCATTTTGAGACCTAAATTTCCTGTCATCCTGGGGCATCCCTTGGTTTTCTACCCATAATCCCTCCATCAACTGGGAAGCACGGACTATAACTTTTACATCCCCCCCCCCCATTGTGAGGAACATTGTAGGAAACCATGTGGTACAAGTTCTCTACCAATCAGGGAATCACAGGCTGATATGGTAACTACACAGTTATATGACAACCTGCCTCCACAATACAATGAGTTTCGAGACGTCTGTGATAAAAAGAATGCGGATCAATTACCTCCTCATCGTCCGTTACGATTGTCTTATTGAACTGCTTCCAGGAGCAGAAATACCATTCAGCCGCATTTTCAATTTATCAGAACCTGAATTAAAGGTGCTAAGGGTGCTTGATGAGAATTTGGAGAAGGGCTTTATCAGACCCTCAACATCTCCTGCAGGGGCAGCCCTGTTCTTTGTTGAGAAAAAGGACTCCACTTTGCATCCATGCATTGATTTTTAGGGGCTTGAATAAAATCACTGTTAAAAACCGTTACCCACTCCCTTTAATCGCAGAAATGTTGGAAAGACTCCGCTCTGCCAAAGTCTTCACAAAACTTGACTTACGGGGGGCATATAACCTGGTACGCATGCATCAAGGAGACGAATGGAAAACTGCTTTTAGAACCAGATATGGACACTTCGAGTCCCTAGTTATGCCTTTTGGCCTATGTAATGCTCCCGCAACTTTTCAGCACTTCATCAATGATGTTTTTCGAGATCTGTTGGACCAGTTTGTTATTGCTTATCTGGACTATATTCTCATCTTTTCGGACATCCTGGAGGAGCATCGCAAGCATGTCTGCACTGTATTCAAAAGGTTAAGGATGAACCGACTTTACATCAAACTGGAGAAGTGTGAGTTTGAACAAACCCAGATCCAGTTCTTGGGATATATCGTTTCTTCAGAAGGAGTGAGCATGGATTCCGAAAAGATCAAGGCAGTGGTGGATTGGACTGCCCCTGGAAACGTTAAGGAAATACAACGATTTATTGGATTTGCCAACTTTTATAGACAGAAACAATTTAGTACTGTCCGTGATACTTTTTTTAT